GTAACTATTTTTTCTAACCCTAACCCAAATATGTTTTTGAAAATAACTCATGCACATTTTCCTATTTCACCCAAATGTTTTGTGGAAACTATAGTAAAAATAAATTACTTAGTTTGACAGGAAAGAAATTTAAAAAAAATTGACCCCCAAAGGTTTCACATAGTTAACATATCAACGTTACTATTTCAATTTTTTTCATAACTTTTTTTCTGATCTGTGACGCAATCCATATTGCAATCCGTGATCTAATCCAAGACCTAATCCGTGATCTAATCCAAGATCTAATCTATGATCCAATCCCATGCAGACTAGCAGTACTTATTGTTATGATACTCACATGTTAGGACGTGAATGCCATCAGACAGTACAAGCCTATGAAATAGAAATCAGTTTCCACATTTAAAATCAGGTAAACCAGTTTAAATAAAATTGTTAATTTCATTCCATATTAAATGTTAACAAACAGTCCCCAGTTTTCCTTATCTCTCTATAGCTGAATTTCTATATCATGAATCAATTCTCTTTGAATAAGAGAAACTCTATAAAGAATGCCCAGACTACGTATTCTTATCTGTCTCCAAAAAAAGATTGATGTTTGTCTTTTGCAAAGTATTTAAACTATTCCTCTCTCATGGAACACCATTAAAGTGCACCTAAACCCAAAATTTTTTTTTCACTTAACAAAATAAGCTTATTTTTTGGAGTATTTCTGTGCAAAAATTTTTTAATTTGCTCAAATCTTTAATTTTCTATGCCCAGTCAAAATACGGAAAATTGGCCGCCATCTTGCCCCACGACCGAGTTTAAAGAAGAATGGCTCTAGCGGGTAATGTGACGTCAAATCGAGAACACGAAAGTCTGCATTTCACACATTTTCACTTGTTTGGGAAGGTTGTAGTCGATAATTGTCCGAAAATATGCCGACTAAGTGTGTTGTAGAAGGATGTAGCAACGTGCGAAATTTGCAAGAGGGTATCGCGCTTCATACATTCTTCATACAACACACCTAGTCGGCATATTTCGGACAATATCGACGACAATCTTCCCAAACAAGTGAAAATGTGTGAGATGCAGACTTTCGTGTTCTCGATTTGACGTCACATTACCCGCTAGAGCCATTCTTCTTTAAACTCGGTCGTGGGGCAAGATGGCGGCCAATTTTCCGTATTTTGACTGGGCATAGAAAATTAAAGATTTGAGCAAATTAAAAAATTTTTGCACAGAAATACTCCAAAAAATAAGCTTATTTTGTTAAGTGAAAAAAAAATTTTGGGTTTAGGTGCACTTTAATGGTGTTCCATGAGAGAGGAATAGTTTAAATACTTTGCAAAAGACAAACATCAATCTTTTTTTGGAGACAGATAAGAATACGTAGTCTGGGCATTCTTTATAGAGTTTCTCTTATTCAAAGAGAATTGATTCATGATATAGAAATTCAGCTATAGAGAGATAAGGAAAACTGGGGACTGTTTGTTAACATTTAATATGGAATGAAATTAACAATTTTATTTAAACTGGTTTACCTGATTTTAAATGTGGAAACTGATTTCTATTTCATAGGCTTGTACTGTCTGATGGCATTCACGTCCTAACATGTGAGTATCATAACAATAAGTACTGCTAGTCTGCATGGGATTGGATCATAGATTAGATCTTGGATTAGATCACGGATTAGGTCTTGGATTAGATCACGGATTGCAATATGGATTGCGTCACAGATCAGAAAAAAAGTTATGAAAAAAATTGAAATAGTAACGTTGATATGTTAACTATGTGAAACCTTTGGGGGTCAATTTTTTTTAAATTTCTTTCCTGTCAAACTAAGTAATTTATTTTTACTATAGTTTCCACAAAACATTTGGGTGAAATAGGAAAATGTGCATGAGTTATTTTCAAAAACATATTTGGGTTAGGGTTAGAAAAAATAGTTACAATTATAATAATGCTTAGTTTGGCATGAAAAAACATAAGCATGCTTTGCATGCAGAAGTTTTTTTTTGGGATACGTGGGTTGAAATGGGACACTAAATAACTGATGCTGTTGTATGAATAATTGTTGGCAAAAATAAACTGCATTGGTACCATGCTTCGTGCAGTTCCCTCCACAGCCCCAATTTGAACTTGACATGCAACTCTCTCTTCAACATTGCATGATGGGACCAAACAATGGCCTCCTCATAGGTTAAAAATTGTGCTTACTGTCGTTCCTTTGTCAGAGACAAAGTCTTAGCTATTATTCTGACCATAAAGGGCCAGAACCAGAAATTCCATTTGGTTTTTCCTGTGCAGGAAAATGCACAATAGCACACAGTTTTTAATTGGCGTAAAGCAATGTGGTGGACACAGGCTGGGAAAGAGGTTGAGTTTTGGCATCAAGTGTCCGTCGGGCTTGAAGTGCTGGGCCGCGCATCAACGATAAGCTTGTTACAGTTTATAGTCATCTTTCGAGTGAACTTAAATATGTTTATTTAAACCACAAACCTAATACTGTAAATAAATTCTATTGTTAACGTAGTACTGATAATAACAACCCTGGTGAACAGTAAAAGCTCATTGGCTGAGTGTTTAAATTCGATTAACTAATACAATCGTCTTATGTAAACATTGGCCAGTGAATCCATCTGTAAATTAATATTGTGGACAAAACAACTATATTTTTCTGACCAAAAAAGCTTGTGGAAGTCACGGCTTTGGTTAGTACCTTGGTACTCGGTACGGAAAACTCATCACAGCTTGTTCTGAATTTGCTTAATACGTTAGTACGGCTTAGTACTTGGTACGGAAAACTCACAACAGCTTGTTCTGAATTTGCTTAGTATGTTAGTACCTTAGTACATGGTACAGAAAACTCATCACGGCTTGTTCTGAATTTGCTTAGTACGTTAGTACCTTATACTCGGTAAGGACAACTCATCACGGCTTTGGAAGGTTTATTACTCAGCCGTAAGACCTATTTGTTTTATCTTCTTTTTCAACCGATTATTTCCTAAATTTATAATTCCTTTGCATAGATGTAGATAAACAAATGAAAGAAAGATAGAATTTTTAGGTTTATAATGGGCAAGAACAGCAGAACCTAAACAAGTCTGGTCAAATTGGCTTAATTTTAATAGTACGTTAATCATCCGTACTAAGCGAAAAACAAGAAAAAAAGAATCCTATTTTGGCCATGGTCTAAAAAAGTAAACATGCAATTTTAATGGGAAAGCATCATGGATAACTTTAGAAGCAAAGAAACAGATATGTAACACGGCAGTCAATGCAGAAAGTAAATGTAACTCAGTGGTAGTTTCAACCTCTGCTAAAAGAGCAGCTACGAGGTGAAAAACAAGATTATCAATCAAATATGATTTATGCAAATGCCCTGTTTTAAGTTTTACCCGAGTCAGCAAATCTAGCCCTTTCAAAACAACATGCTATAGCACTAAATTTGTGCCTTTAGCTGATGGTGTGTGCATCGTAAGTGAAGGAGCGGCACACAAGACGTGCACGTTTTAACTCGCTAATGGTAGAAAAAGTTCCCTGACAACCTTTCTAATTCCCACAGATCATAGCAATAAATTCCTCACGAAGGACATGAGTCATTACATTGAATAAATGATCTTACAACTCTTGTAGATGTCATCTTACCTTGTTCTTTAAGCAAAATTCAAAATTGGAATTGCTGATCAACTCATAGATAGCAATGAAATATCCTGAAGTGGCTCCTATCAACATCTGAAGTAATATTTGATTCAAAATTTTTCTCCTGTTCCACTCAATTTCCTTCAGAAGGAAGAATAAGCATAATTGTACAACGATCACAACTCCACCGCTTTTCCAACACGACTGATACACTTCCTTAATTCACGAACCACTCTCTCTGACTCACATGTTGATTTGCTGAAATTTGAAGACCTGTCAAACCACAAATTAGCAAGAACGCTCTGATTGGTGCGACATCAAATAATACTACAATCTGATTGGTTTGTGATACATCAAAAAATTGTGCCAATCACATTGCTTAGAGATACACTCAAAAAAATTGCACCAATCAGATTGCTTATAGATACAAAAAACTGCACCAATCAAATTACATCATACCAAAACACACCACTCTATATGCTAACATATAGTTTGTTTTCTTTTTTAAATAACTCAAAAATTGGCCCTCAAAGGTCTAACATATTTTAACATATTTCATTATTTTGATTTTTTCCAAAACTTTGTTTTTTTCTGATTCAATCTGTGATCCTAGCCATGATTCCACCATGACCTGGTGTATGATCTGGTCCATAATCTGATCCGTGATCCAATCTGGTTTTTTTTTCGACACAGAATCTTAGTAATATTATGCATGTATAAATTAAACTATGGTTTTTTTCTGTGCTGTATAGTGTAACTGTAAAGGGGATATATATAATTTATACATAGGCAGTCCATGACTGCATGTAGCTTACTGCACCTGTTTTTACTTAGAATACCACATTTAACTGCCCTGAAAGAACGACACTAGAAATTACTCACAGTTAAAGATATAGTGCAACCAATATCTGTGATGAACAAAAAAAATTTGTTAATCTTATAAATATAATTATTATGTTACATTGATACCTGAATGGCCCACAACTGCCCCTACCTTCCCTACTAAGCAGAATTTGCTCTATTGTTAGGAGATCAATGAACCAATCAGAATCTGTTGTTTGTACAAATATTTTTGATGGATTTTAGGGGTATTAGCAGACTATCATTCTATGCATTCAAACTAAATGATCAAATTTGAAAATATGGCATCTGCATGGCGGATCTTCATTTACAGTCGGGTTAGACCTTGTGGAACTCAGAATATAAAGTAGCAATGCTGTAGAATACTCTGTTTGGAAAATAATGGATAGCAAAGTCTTAAAGGTGATAGAATAAGCTCTCTAGTCAACAACACTACGATTCTCTAAAGCAATATGAATTGTGGCCGTAAACCAAAAATCAAACTTTCTGACTTCAAGCAGGGCATAGCGATAATTTGACAGTTCTACTGCCCAGTAGATATTATGTATGAGTAACAATGTGTTCAAAAAGTATTGTTTATTAGAAGATTTTATGTCAAATCGTAGTACTTTCATAATTTTCAACATAGCGCTACACAATTTCTTGCTGTGAAGTCAACTAATGATATAGGCTTGATTAATTTTACTGTGAGGGCTTTGTATACAAAGAAATTCGTACATTTTTCACTTATAACAACAAATCAAGAACTGTTTTGAATAAAACTGTCATCCCCAAATATCTCTTTGTCATTTTCATCTTGCTTCTTTTTAATAGATACCACGAAACTTGAGATCTCTTCACACATGGACAAATTAGCATGATTCAATTTGAAATTTGATCCGCAGGCCTATTTGTGCACATGTGAAAATACTTAGTGATTTTTATCTTTCATCTTGATTTTTGAGTAAAAAATCAATAATGAAAAAGAATTGCAGCAATTCAAAAGAAAAACTCCTCTAGGCAACAAATATTCCCTTTGCGGAGCAAACAATTGCAGCAATGCGACACAAAACCTGCAGGAGACAAAAAAATCTGCGATCATGATTGCCAACGCAAGATACGAAAATCAGACGATATAGAAGAAGACTGAACTGAATCCCACACATTTTCTGAAGGTGTCAATTGTTACGAACTTATGGATGGACTTGCACTCTGGATAGTGTAGTATCTATGACTGAGTCTGTAGATACAAAAATGGAGTTAAGGTTGGGGAATACCAGATCAAAATTGGCAGAATTCGTTGTGGGCTCAGATTCTATTGATACTACATTGACTTTATTATTTTTTTTAAATTAAAGAAATAAAGGCTTTTGTAGCCCGCAGTTAGCAAAGCTATTCTAGGTGGGCTACCTAAACAGACACTGTATAGGCTCTCACAGATACACACGCACACACACACACGCAACAATGAAATAAATAAATAAATGAGCAAATAAAAATAAATAACAAATAATAGTAGTGATAATCATGTTAAAGGTTTTAACTGGGCCAGTCACACAAGGGAGTTTTTGATACTGTAATGAGCCGAAACAAACAACAGTTTTCCCGCCAAACATGCACATCTATTTGATTTAATATCCAAACGGCTCTTCTCTCAAAACCCTGGGATCCTATTGCAACCATATGGAAATTATGCAACAAGGCAGTACATCACAACTGGAATAATGTCACATAGTACCTCTGTCACACCACCCCCCGTTACAAAAGAACAAAACTAGCATTCGTGAAATTTTGCAGTTAACTCAATTCAAGAAAATATAAAAAGTTTCACTCCATTTGGTAGTCGGCTGTCCAGGCATGCCTCTTTTGTGACTGACGTGGCCTCTTTCCAGCGCCCTTGGCAGTGGAAGGTGCCCCTAGAAGACCGTTGGCTGTTGTAGCAGAATTGGGAACATGCTGTTTGGCTGCCTTGCCATTGGTAGGAATGGGGCCAGTAGTCTTGGGCTCTGCTAGCCAGTTATCGAAATTGTTCCCCTGGTAATTTATTAATCAGTTGACATGGACGGCCATTGGTTTCAACCTTGGCTCTTTTTGGATCCTGTAAATCAAATCATCTAGGCGTGATGTCATTACGTATGGTACCTCCCAGGGCCTCTGCAACTTCAGGGTCCTGCCTTTCTTGCACCTAGGGTTGTGGAGCCAAATAGGATCCCCACACACAAAGCCATGATTCTGTGCCTTGTGATCATAGTACTTCTTGTGCCTTTCGCTTCCTAACTACATGTTTCCTTGGGCAAACACATGAGCCTGATCCAGTTGGGCTTGCAGACGTTGAACTTACTCAGCGTCATTCTGGTTGTCACTTTCTTGTATGGGTTGTCTAAGCCGAAGGTCAATCGGACGATCAATCTGGCGCCCAAACATCAACTCACATGGGGGAAAGGAGGTAGTTTCGTGAACAGCAGAGGGATAAGCCGTCATCAGAATAGGCAAGTGACTATCCCAATCTCATTGGTTCTCTGCCACAAACTTGGATAGCATTCCCTTTGTAGTCCAGTTAAAACGCTCAACCATTCCGTCTGACTGAGGATGGAGGGGCGTGGTTCTGGTTTTATCCATTCCCAATGACTTGCACATATCTTGGAAGACTTTTGACTTAAAATTCCTTCCCTGATCAGAATGGATCTGCCTCGGGACGCTGAAACAAGCCACGAACTCTTCAACCAACGCTCTTGCTACAGTTGTTGCTTCTTGATTGGGAATTGCGTAGGCCTCTGTCCACTTCGAAAAGTAATCTCCTATGATGAGGATGTATTTGTTACCATGGTCCTAAAATGTCCAGTGCCACTCTCTCAAGGGGTGCGCCAACGTTGTAGTTCATTAAGGGTGCCCGGGGTGTGCAAGTTGGCCTTTCCCTGGAGGCACAGAGGTCGCGTGTCCAACACCAATCTTTCACATAATTTATTTTGTGCAGCCAGGCCAATAGAACCTCTCTTTAACCCATTCTAGCATCTTATTGACACCCAGGTGCCCTGCAGTCTCCATGGTGTGTAGCTCGTGGAGGATGTCATTTCTGAGATTGGAGGGTAGAACAAACTGCCAACGGACCTCATCTCCCGCTTCGGACTCCCACCACCAGCAAAGGACACTGTTACGTAGTGACAAACGGAACCATTGACTCCAGTAAGTCTTGATCGGTTTGTTTTGAAACATCCTTCCATGCTGGGCGAGGGTGGCAAGACTCCTTCCATGCGATAATCTCCGTTAAGTCGTCATCGGTGATCTGACTAGCCTGCAGGTCATCTGTGGCACCCATAACAACAAAGGCTTTGGTGGAGCTGGAACTTCCGTTTTTAAAACTCTTGGCCTTCAGGTAAAGGTTTTGGGTCTAACTGATGGGACGGCAGGCTATCCCCATCCTCTGTCTGTTTTGTCTGAGCCTTGGGATGCACCACTAAGAACAACATCTGTTATTTTCAAATCTTCGGCTGAAGAGCTCACTACCTTTTGTTCGGTGAGGTCGCAGTATTGGCATTCACAGCATGGTCTTCTCGAAAGAGCGTCAGCATTTCCATGGCATGTACCAGGATGGTGCTGGATGTTAAAATCATAAGTGCCCAGGAGTTCAAGCCACCTGGTGAGTTGGCCTTCGGGATTTTTGAACTTCAGGAGCACCATGGTCAGTGTGGACGAGGAACTGCCTTCCACGCAAGTAGTGATGGTAGGTCTTTACTGCTACAACAACTGCTAAAAGTTCCTTACGAGTCACAATAGTTTCTCTCGCTCTTGCTCTTGGTAATACTCAGTCTGGTAGGGTAAATATCTCCTGTGGTGTACCTGAGGGGTCGGAACTGGGACTCCTGCTTTTCTTAATTTATATCAATGATTTCCATAACTGTTCTAGGCAATTACACTTCCATCTATTTGCTGATGATGCCAACTTATTTCTTCAACTCAAGAATATTAATTTACCAGAAAGTATTCATAATAATGAACTCAGTGATGTTCATTCCTGGTTATGTGCAAACAAACTTTCATTGAATATCAGTAAGTCAAATTTTGTACTGTTTCACCCAGTCCAAAAATAAATACCCAAGTCAGTTACATTATTTATCAATAATCAATCTCTAACAGGAAAACTCCATCAGATACGTAGGAATTTACATTGACTCAAATCTCAACTGGAAAAGTCATATTAATTATATTGTAAAAAAGATTAAATGTAGTATAGGTACTCTATCAAAACTTTGCTATATCTTAATAGCAAAACCTTACTGGACCTATACTATGCTCTTGTATATCCATTTTTGACATACTGTATAATAGCTTGGGGCAATACTTATCAAACTTCTCTGCAGCCATTTTTTGTATTGCAAAAGAAAGCCATTAGAATCATAACTTTCTTTGGCTTCTTAGAGCATACAAGCCCACTTTTCAGAGTTATGTCTTTTAAGAGTTACATCTGTTGGCTTAGGGCTCTGGGACGTGACCGCCTGCGATATCTTTCTTTTGCCACTTCGTTGTTTTTCAGCAAAGAAAAAATGCCTCAACTTCTACAGCTGCATCCAATGCCTCGGTGAGTGTAACTGCCTTTGCTTGATGGACCTTCCAATCTAGTTCTGGATCTGCCAGTGCCTCAGTGAACTGGTCTTTGGCGATTGACTCTCCTAGTAAAACTGTGGCATCGGAGTAGGCTTGTCTAGTCAAACGCCAAATCACCTGGGTTAATTCAGGGAGGGTTTCCTCAGGTTTGCGAGTGCGGCTTCGTAGCGAAACCCGGAGCATTTCTGTTCTGTTCAATGTTCCAAACCAACTATCAAGTGCCGCGACCAGGTCCGTGTAGCTGGTACGCTGACTTTTGTCGAGGTCCCCAAGCACTGCCTGAGCTTGGCCGCTTAGGCTGACTGCCAGGTAGGCTGCTTTGGTTCATCTATCCCACTGATTCAGATTGGCTACAAGCTCAAATTGGGCTTTATAATCCTCCCACAAAGTTGAACCATTGTAGGGGCTTGGGTGGACACGTGGCTTCTCTTGTTGTTGAGCACGCTGGTGATATGGGCTGGGAGAAAGAGGTGCTGGAAGAGTGCTAAAACACTCACTCAGGATCACCAAACAAATTGGGAATAACACTTTTGTGGTGAACGGGTGCCAGTGTAACGTGACGGTCAGGCTTTTTTGATTCAAGGGCAGCGAGGCATTTACTCAGTTCACCGAAGCGATCCTCTAAAGCACTGTTTTGCTTTTCTAGTCCAACACTTAGTGCTGTAATGGCTGTTAAAACTTGATCGACGGTTACATTGCTGTTGTCTCCTTTACTGTGAGGCGTGCTGCTCCCAACTGGAATGGGTGATTTCTCCATAGTTGTGTCCTTTACAGTCGGGGAAAAATCCTCTGTGTTTAGAACGATCAGTGGTCCAAAATCAACTTCACCATCATTGTAATGCTCCATTTCGCTAGTATGCCGAATATCCCACCGCTGCCACCAGTGTAAGGAGCCGAATCAAGCAACAGTTTTCTCGCCAAACACACACATGTATTTTATTCATCCGAACGGCTCTTTTCTCAGAACCCTGGGATCCTATTACAACCACGTTGAAATTACGCAACAAGGCGGTACGTCACAACTGGAATAATGTCACGCAGTAGTTCCATTATGTTACACTCACTCACTCAGAAGGACAGCACAGTAGCTTATGCCTGTTAAGGTGGTGACCTACAAAAACTGTATCACTTATTTGTGACTACCACTATTTAATATAGTGCCAAGCATGGTTAAAAATATTCTTTTATCAGGAGCCTTATCATTAATTTACAGTCTTACTGCTGCAAGGGAAATGATTAAAAAAAAATTGTGTTAGTGAAGTAGCTGACTTACTGACACCAGCCCTTGAATTTGTGAGGCATTACATCACAGCATCATAATAATTATATTGCCATATAAAAGATTTAATACATGTTGTTTTTATAGCTGCTATGCTGGCTACTCAACTAAATGAGATGGTGACTTCAGAACAATTAGAAGTGAAAGCTGTCATTCAGCTGAACAAGTACATCTGCAATGTTATTCAAGAAACCAGGTAATAGAGATTTGTTGAACAGTCACGTTATATTTGTAAACCCTCCTTTGGATTCACATCAGCCTCACCAAAGACTGACCAAAACAGAATTTCTTTTTATATTCGCAATACAATATCAGGAAGACAAGTGATGAGAAAGAATAAAAATATCAACTAGGGAATAACTAGTTGATCAGATTCCAAATGCTCCAAAGTAACATCATAGGAATCATATGACAGACAGTAGGGAGATTTCCTAATGAGATCTTGGGAGTGAAATGGCTAAGAAATATGTAAAACACCTTTTTCTTGAAATATTTCAGTATAAAGTGAAAATTGTAATAGGAAGGTGACTGTTTGCAGTTCTTGGCGGGGAGGGGGCATTCTTTAAAAGTTATGATGATTTGGCAATCATAGCTGACTATTTGTTTTACGATGTACAAGACAATGTTTCTTAATTGATTTATTGATAAAGCAACTTCTTTGACCTATATATCATTATACTTTTTATTAGAACTTTATCTTAATTGAGGATATCTCTACAATACATGTTTAACTTTTATGAGGAAAGCTTCAAAATCCATATCAAATAAAAGGAGTTCTTGGGAAAATGTTTTATTTATTAAAAGGTTATTTTCAGGAAAGTGCTGATACTAATGGATGTGACTGTTATTAAACCTGGAAGAGAAATTCCTGGAAAGATTGGAGATCCCAAAAACTTAAACGCTGATCCTAGTAATGATCGCCAAAATCCTCCACAACAGAATGGAAATAGTGCTCCACAGACCATGTCAGGTAGACTCACAATACATTCTTATTGACAGATTTTGATAATGTTCTGGTTGACAGCAACTTCGATATTAAGAACATGTCCAAGAGAAAACCGGGCAGGGGGCAATAAACTTCAAATCATCAATTTGGCCCAAACTTGGCACAAATGCTAAGTATCATGAGGTAACAAATGTGTTAAAATAGTAGATCAAAATATATAATTCCCTGGGAGATATAGGGTCCTCCTGGGAAAACCCATATTTCCTGCATTTTTTGCACAATTGGTTAGCTAACTTTGCATTGCTGCTGTGACAAACTGAAAAGCCATCTGCAAATTCAATCAACTGGGTTGTGATACAATGAATATATGAAGTTCATATATTTTGAACTGCCGTATTAGATGTGTATGATGCGCAATCCTCGCAGTAAATAGGGCTATTTATGCAATAGCAAAAATCAGACCTGAAAAAAATCAGGCCTGTACTATTCATTGTATCTGATTTATCATCATGGGTTTAAAACGAATCAACTTAACAGCCTGCTCCCAGTTGGCTTGTTAGCTCAATTGGTAGAGTGCTGCACTAGTATCGCAGAGGTCAGTGGTTCGAATCCTGTACAGGCCTGATTTTTTTCAGGTCTGATTTTCGCTATTGCATAAATAGCGCTATCTACTGCGAGGATCGTGCATCATACGCAACTGGATTGTGTTCTATATCTATCAGACTTATAGAAAATTGAATTTTTTTAAATTTTTCATTTCATTTCTTCCCTTATCTCTCCCTTAAGTAAAGATGGCTTTTTCTGGTTTTGACATAGTCCAAAAATAAGGGTATCTTAAGGCCCAATATCTCCAATGACCAACTACTTCTGATCATTATTCCTACATGGGCAGTGAAAGCCATTACTGGATGTCCAAAATCAGTAATAAAATTTTGGTGCAACTCATTTCATAACCCATGCTGACATCATTGAAATTTACATCTAACTCCTGCTTTTTAGTCTATATCATCAAAATTCTGTAAACGACATCTTTGTTTTATGCGCTTAAAATAACTTGAAATTTACAAGAGTTTTCCCAGAGAGTATCGTTTAAACATGAATTAGGAGAGAATCTTTGAATAGCACAAGTTGAGTCCTTTTTGCAAACTTTTTTTCACAGCCATATTTGGATTATTCTTGATGAAATGCATCAGTCGATGATGAACTTTGAGGGCACATGCAGTCAAACCTTCTGACAAAAGATATCTAGAAAGAAGCTTGATAGTATATACATGTCTCTGTGGTGCCTCAGTTGCAACTTTTGGCTTGATATCATTTGTTAGATAAGTAGCCATTATGTCAACAATGTACCAGATTCAATATGCTTCCATTGCCTTGTTGAAATGTTAGACATGGAGAGAGAGCTCTTGGAAAGATCGATTATGATTGGTCTTTTCTGGTGTGATACTTATTGACTTACATGATATGTGTTGGTGGCAAAAAGATGATTTGCTGCCCTGAAAGCTGATGTAAATCAAAGGACAATTCACCATCTTTTATCTTATCACCTGCAATTTTGTTCAGTGGTCAACTTTGACATTCATTTTCTGCCTGGTTCTCCCTGGTTTTGTCTTGGACATGCTTAATTGTATAATAGTTGATGTACCTGTGATTAGCAATGTTGTAATTTTAAATCAAAGGACGATTCACTATTTCACTTAGTTGGTGTGAAAGCTGTGATGGCAAATGGTAAATCAGCAGGTGGAACTTCAAGAGGTGCAGGACTGGCCTCTGCTACGTATGGAAGGTATTATTGTGTGTTACATGTAAACTATGATGGGTAATATAACATTTTTAGCCAGGTCAAAGGGAAACAAATTGTTGTAAAGTTAAGCATAGCGTGACAAAGTGTGACAGACAATTCTAAAGTAAGCTTTGATCACATAATTTCAACCAGAAATATGATATGTGTAACCCAAGTTTGTTGTTAGAGTATTCGTGAAAATATTCCTACTACGTGTCACATGGAATATGGAAACTTGTATGTGTTTTCCGTCTAAAAACACGTAGGAACACTAGTTCTGCTGGATTTACGAAAGTGTCCTCCCATATCTGTGAAATTGCGGATACGTGGTAATTAAGTTGTTTATTTCAAGCGAAACTCGTGTTATCTTCTGTATTTTGTATCCCGTATGATTTAGCTACCATTCTGTATATAAGAACCTTGATTCAAGCAATAAAGTAGATTCAGTTGATTGTAAAGCAGTTGAGTGTCCTGCACTCTGTGTGTAAGCTTACGTTAAACCCAACGTTTGCTTAAGCATCGAAACAGCTCGACGCTAACCGACCCTTCGCCGAAATTATACTACAAAATAAAATTCACTTGCATTCATAAAACTTTCAGAGAGAATATGGTGTATAGAGTTGCATGTTTATGAGATCAGGTGAAGTGTTGAGTCCAGGAAGGGCCAGATACGATTATATGCCAGAGTTAGATGTTTAATGGTTACTTTTCATTTTAGTCACAAGCCGCTTGCTTCAAGAGGGGATAATACAAGATCTGTTTTTCCAATAACATCCTTAACACCATATCAGAACAGGTACTATAAGATTTTCAATGATTCTTTTCTTTACCCATAGCAATGGTCAGGTAAGATGGTCTGAATATTTTTCACGATGAAGAAGTGAATTCCATGATGTTTCTTTATCCAACACCTCTTGAATATAAAATGAGATTATAAGATAGAGCAATAAATAGCAATATCTAACAAACTGAATGCCACTGATTCCGATCAGGACTTGACAAATTGAAAATGGCTGCCTTTTTACGTAGAAACTCGTCTTAATAAATGTGCAATATTGTATAGGAGAATTGAACATGCAGTGCAAGAGTATCTTATGGACTCCTTGAAATTGAATAGCTCTCGGCATTAACGTAATACCAGGTTTGCCAGCTTGAATTTTATTACTCCTACACACAAGAGAAAGACTGAAAGAGGAAGCTCGTTTGTAGTGTCTGTAATACAGGACTGGAATAATTTAAATTGTGAAATAAGGAAACAGCCGAATGTAAAGTGTTCTAAACGTGCCTTGAGAAAGCAATTTCTACAAGATCGAGCTCACTTGTCTTACATTTATCCATAATTTTTATTGAACTTTATTATGTATTTATTTATTTGTTCAATTTTTATTATAGAATTATTACCTGTCCATTGCTTATACTTTAATAATGTAATTTCTATTCATACATAGTAGAGGGCCACAAGTTTGTTAGTTTTTAACTATTATGTGCTACCCTCTTTAAATGAAGACTACTATTGCTACTACTACTAACAGGCAAGGGCCAGTTCAAAATGAAATGAAATGACATGCAACCTCAGCAAATAATTTGGATATATCAACAAAGTTGAAATGGTAAATTGGCCTCCGTAACAATTACAAAAGCTGAGGTTTTGAGCGTTAGCCCTTCCTAACCTCAGCGAATGTTTTACAGTGCCAGAAAAGAAAAAAGTAAATTCCTATGAGAATGAAAAATAGCAACGACAACACAAACAAACTATCTAAAGGCAACTGCAAAACGAAGTTAAAGAAAAGAAAGGCTGTTTATTACCAAATGCTGAGGGATTAGAACAAAATTTACAGATAGGCACAAGAACTGGTCTCATGAAAGGGGTGAGACAGGAAAATATGTAACTGCATTTGCATACAACACATAATTAACAAATATCGTAGTTAGACAAAATACCAAAGAGCAAAAGTACACAATGACAAGTAGGTGAGAAAAATGGAAACCAAACAAATAAAAAACAAACATTTGCCCCAACAAGGACTGAAATACAATTACATTTCAAATGTCTTATTGACAAACTAAGGGGTTTTTAATCACTTCAAAATGAAAATGCTTTTGATGTTTCCTATTATTGTAAGGGCCAAAGGTTGCCTTTCCTTTGTCTTTCATATTCATAAACTAAACAGATGGACAATTCGTGTACGTGTAACAAGCAAGCCAAAGGTCCGTACTTACAACAACTCTAGAGGAGAGGGCCGTGTCTTTAATGTTGACCTTGTGGATGAGTCGGTTTGTAAAATATCCACTGTTATTTCATGACTTATTTTGTCTTCTATCTTTAAGATCCCTGATGGGTTCTTTATAGGAACTCGTCATTTTCACTTTAACCTGATTTGTGTGCATTTTTTCAGGACAACTGAGTATTAAAATTGATATCGTCATTTGAAATGGTAATTGAAAAAACAGGGTAGTTTCAGAGTAGGATTTATGTGACCACTTTTTGGTAACATTATCATATCTAAGATTTTTTGGAAACATTGTTGGGGTCAAGCATCTTCAAACTTACTTATTTAAAATTCTTTAGGGAGAGATCAGAGCTACTGGATTCAATGAAGCAGTTGACAAGTTTTATGACTTGCTTGAACTTGACAAGGTATGTAAACCTTGCTTTCACTCTTAAATTTGTCTCCTTATCATTATTTTTAGCAGGCTAAGTACAAAGCCTATTAATGACATAATCAGTGCCTGTTGACCCTTGTTTTATAGCTTATAATTACAGTCTTGGTACTCTGTAGTTGTGTGACAAAAGTTACTTGTTGGAATTGGTAACCTCTTCCTGTTATAGGTTGAGAAGACCTGTGTTTACTAATGTTTTGATTTTTTTACATTTTTCATGATGCAGGTGTTTTATATCTCCAAATGCTCTCTGAGAACTGCAAACAAGAAATTCTCAACCATCAAGAATGACTATGAACTCTTTCTGAACAATGATAGTTTGATAGAGCCAGTAAGTACAGACAATTGTAATCACAGAATTCCTGTTGAGCAAGTTATTATCAGAAATAATTTGGATATATCAAGAAAGTTGAAATGGTAAATTGGCCACCGTAACGATTACAAAAGCTACGTTTCGAGCATTAGCCCTTCGTTGGAGCAAATAGAGGAATTGTGGGTTGTGTGTGCTTTTGTAATCGTTACAGGGGCCAATCTACCATTTAAACTTTGTTGATATATCCAAATTATTTCGTTACCCCCACCGACGCAGCCCCAAACAGTTTCTTTAGAAACTATCAGCCTTTATTGTCAGAAAACTTGATGAATTGTTTTACCTGACTGAATCACTAGATGGCTTCAAAACCATCTTAGAAATTGATAGAATATGCTGAGATTGTCGTATCATGATAGACTGATACTATCAAGAGCAAATGTTACCAAAAACCCAACAGCTTTTTTAAGTTTCGTGGCAACAGCTCAAAAATCAATTTGGCCCATAATCTCGTATTAGATAGAAGTTAAATTTTGCTAAATATCAATTAGTTTTCGAGAAAATCAATATTCCCTGAATTTTGTGAAAATGCGCTTTTTCAATGCGAAATTCAGGTTGATTCACGACACCTTGCGTTACAAAATAAAACACTCTAGGGTAGTAAAGTCAGCCACACATTGTAAAACAATGTCAAAAAATACCATTAACACAATTTTTAGCAATTCTCAACCATTTACCTTTATAGGCAAAGGTAAAGTCTGTTTATGAGCCTAGTGGCCCATTAGGCCGGTGCTTAACTCCGGTTTCTGTAGCATGAAGTGACTAGGAGTATTTCTACTCCCCCCCTAGATGGGATGTCAGTCCATGGCAGGGTTACCCCCAGCATTAAATTGCCGGTACCCATTTATACACCTGGATGGAGAGAGGCACTGTGAGAGTAAAGTGTCTTGCCTGAGAACACAACACAATGTCCCAGCCGGGGCTCCAACCCGGACCACTCGATCCGGAGTCCAGTGCACTAACCATGAGGCCACTGCGCCTCCACATTTACTTTTATAATCTAATTTAATTTGGTTGACTTATTTTTATTGAGAATAAAACTTATCTACATTTAGCCTATTATTTAAGCTTGTGTTACTGTATATAATTTTGGTGAAAGCCTAGCATTTAAATTCAAGGAGTTTTTCTTTTAGAGCCCCAAAGGATTCTGGGGAAATGATTCAAGAGTAAAGGAGTCGATTTTTAAGATTGGATAAATTGCACTGTCATTTCAACTTGTCCCACATGTGACATGACACTACAATGCACATTACACTTCACATAAGCACCTAAAAGGTTAAGCAGAATACATTAAGACTATACATTAACATATATAATCTTACCATTTTGTCTTCAAATCAGTGATGAAGGAAACTGTATTCCTGAAGGTCTCATTTGGTTCGTGAACTAATCATGCAAAATCATTTCCCACGACATAGTGGTGGTATTGTTTGTTTTGCATGCTTTGGACGTTTATAGGTTTTGTTGTGCGTATTCACTGCCTTCATTTTCCTCAAAAATGGTCTTAGAGTGCCTTTCATTAAGTCTTTGCTGAAACACGAGTTCTGAAATGAACAGCAAACCAAAGTTGAACCAAGAGACCTCAAGTCAAAACATATGTTATCACGTGGGTGTTGTGAAATACCGCTTCAGGTGAAATCTACAACCACAGAATTGGAACATGGAACAAATGACTTGTGGATCTTAGTGATTTTTTATTTGATATCAACATAGAAAAAAAGAAAGAAAAACAGAATCCTGTTGAGTCATCTGGCAGAATTGCTGGTGTCTGGGTGGCAGTGAGCAACCTACTACAAAGTCCACTCCAGTTAAATGGGAGAGCACGAGTTTTGTTAACAACATTGGATATACCAAGGAAGGTTTGCATGTTAGCAGAGCTTATGAAATTGACTCTGGCAAATTTTTACACTGGAGCAACTTCTGCCAATAAGTTGGGAGCCTTTCTCAGCTAAACAAACAGAAACAGAGTTAAGTGCTGAAGTATTTTTCCAAACTGCCAAAGCCAGGAGTAAACCAATGCAAAAACCAGTTTTAAGAGGCTCCACAGAACAGAAATAACAGCAGCAATGATGAAAGCTGTAAAGATGATGGAAGAGATCTGTTTTTGTGTCTGGAAGAGGGATGTGTTTAGTCCTTTCAACAATACTCATCGCCAGAAAATCATCTGGACTGTGGTAAACAGCAGTATGGCCTGGAACAGGAAACACTGTACGACAAGGCAATGACCATGTGTGCCACCAAACTGGAACATGGTGCTGGTGTCCTGCCAGAAATAGTTGATGAAGGTGCACCCATGTCAGTGGAGGATGATGGCTCCATGCTCTTAAGTCAGCAGGAGTACAAAAAAAAAAAGAATCTCACAGTGGCACAGAAAAGGTATTTGACTGAAGTCTTCCAAGGTAGAAAACACACTGGAAAAAAGTAGATCCAATGAGCGTCTCAAAGGCAATGTGTAAAGACATTTTTAGAGACACTCTTTTAAGAGTGACGACTGACTGGGGTTGTAAAGTGTATCATCAAAATTATCTGGAATGCTTTCTCCAGGGAAAAGCCAACAAAGGAAAAGTGTAATAGGAAATCCAATAAGTTGTCATAAATTAGTTAAGTCTGTGGAGAGAAAAGGGATCACAGCCACACCCACAAAGGGAGAATCTCCTCTATCCTCAAATTGATTTCAAGATTTCTCAGAAATTTAAAAGGAGGTTGGTCCATGTAAAATATTTTCAAGCTTTCCCACGACTTACAATTTTAAGGCCAATCATAAGAAATCTTCCAGTTTCATTTTCAAAATTATTTTTAACTGCATCACATGATCAACCACACCCTATTTAATCGAGAAATCTTTAGAATCAAAATGCCCACTGGACAGAGATCAAACCGTTCTCCTTTGTAGGTCCAAACAGTGGCTAATAATACTCTACTTGTGAAAACAGTCCAAAGGAAAAGAAGGCATAAGTGTCTCGTCCTGACGAAAACTTAAGTTAGAGGAGGACTGGCACTATTCATTGAACATCAGTTGCTCCTGCCAATTGTAAAGATTCGGGAACCATTCTAAACTGATTTCCCGTACACTTTGTAAGGTAAATGCTTTGATACAGAAAAACTGGAGCTACACATTTAATACTAGTGGTGGGAATTGTTAGTTACAATTTTTAAACGCTGGAGGCTAAAGGGCATAAGCAATCACATGACCAGGAGTTTATTTATAAAATTAGTTTGTCTGATGGAAACAGTTTGTTATCATGTAGCATGACAAATAGGGCGTGGTGATTTCGACATAAATGTAAGTTGAACCAATAGATAAGAATAGACAATGACCAGAAATCCTGTGTGATCAAATGAAGACCATAGCTGATAGAAGAATAGGATTGATTGAAATTTGTGTCAAACAAAGGGACAGCAGAAATACAATCTATGTCTTTGATTTTAAAATATGTTGCTTAAGTTTTTACGTCAATCCTGCATTTGATTGAATGTGTTACTTCATAAATTGGAAAGTTGGTCAAATCAAGGCATTTTAATCCATCTTTAAAATTCAATTTCTTTGGATTAAATCATTTCCCCATAAAATCCTTTGGACGTGTGAAAGAATGATTACTCAGCCTTCAAAATCCAGATTTTTTGATATATTTCATGTATACTAGTACCACATACTTAGCTTAAAGGTTATTTTTAGTAAGTTTTCATCTTGATAAAAGAAGGTTTGTGGAATGTAATTATATTTTCAAAGTAAATAGAAGAGAATTGCTCAAATTCCTTTTCACACATATTGTGGCATTGTTCTACAAGATTTAGCGGATTTCTTTTCTCTAGAGTATGTTATTTCATTATGCACAGCCTTCTTTTTCTCCCTAAATTGTAAGTTCAAAATGTGGCAAATTCACAAGATTCAGTTTTTATTGATTTTCTAAAAAACTAATCAATATTTAGCCAAATGAACTATGCAGTGTTTTGTTTTACATTAAGGTCTACCTAACCTGAGAATATGGGCCAGATTACATTTTGAGCTATTGCCATGAAATGTATGACTCATGGTCACATTTGCTCTTAATACCAGGAGTAAAGCAACTGAACATATTTTCCATTTTGCATTATATACTCTTGTTTACTACAAAAACCTGTTGTTTTAGTGTGATGATACTTGTGATCTACCAACCATGCAGTACAATTTTGTTGAAATTGGTGACTTGGGAAATATTGATGCAGATGCACTGGTTGGTGAGTCATTGTCTTTTATATATTCTTTAATTTGTTACCCATTAAGGCTGAAAGTATTATTGAAGTCATTCAACCACTCCATAGAAACTTTGTTCCTTGTTTCTCCTGGTGGGATTTGTCACCTTCCGTCCAAACTATTTTGTGGCAATAGATGACTCTTGAATCATACTCAGAGGTGAGGGAAGACAAAAGGAGTCGATATTAGTGTTTAGCTGGAAATAACAAAGCTTAGAATCTAAGTCTCATTTCAATTGAGGTCTTAATGTAATAGAGAACTGATTTTGCACTTACTGTAATATCGTTTTGCACAGATATATTAGGTATTGTGGTCAGTGCGGATGAGGTCACACAAATAACAACTAGAACAACTAACAGACAGGTTGGTGTCTGGAAAATGTTTGCCCTAAACAACAGTGTTGTGCTAAATCAGATGTGATATGAATGCAGGATGATTGAACCTCGGTTATTGTCAGCTTCTCAATGGCATCTGGTGTCTTTTTTATTTCCTTCTTATCTTTCCCCCCAAAATTTTGAGATGAATTCTCTTCACTGTCTCCTATTCATTTCTTATAATTTTAGCTCTTGAAATTTGTTACAAGATTGAACTATATCACTTACAAAATCATTGCATTTTCAAGAAGAAACTGCTTCTGCTTAAAAATGTATTGATTTTTTTTTTACAGAGGATAAAGGGGAAAAGGCTTGATCAAAGGGAACTTAGTGCAGAAAATATTTAGTTCATTTATAGAGAAGAATTGTTATGAGCTTAATGGCTCGAATTTTGATTTTAAGGATTTGCTTTAACTTAAATCACCTTTTTAAGGTTTGTGAGTTCCATCTTTTATTTTGAAACCTGAGAATTTTTGTCAGCTCTCTAATTCTATTTGAAATATTTGTAGGTTTCAAAGAGGGATATCACTCTATTAGACAGATCAGAGAAGAGTGTGAGAGCAACTCTTTGGGCAGAAGAGGTGATGACATAACAAGTCAATCATTATTCTTTTAAGTTGTTACAAACCGGATTTGGGAGTGCATCATACATAGTCATTAAACTGCTGATTATCATTGTTAAGATGTCTAAGGCAAAGTAGCTGTTACAGTAGTATATTGGGACAGCAGTCTCATATACATCTGGGAAGTTTGAGAGTGGTGAGAGAGTGGGGAATCAGAGGAGCTATGTATCTTGTGTGTGTTACATTAAATGTGTTGCTTTGAAACCTTGGTGGTGTCCCTGTGTGGAATAGAACTCTACAGTAACCTTGCTTTGACTTTTTTAGCATGGGGTCTACTTATTACTGTATTTTGATCCAACAAAAGGCCTATAGTTGAATGTCATCATTTAATTAATCTTATAAACTTTAAATTTATATCAACTTTTGGCATCAGGACAAAAACTTTGCTTGAAATTAATCTCACCATTATTGGTTAACAGGCTGAGACATTTGATGAGTTTGTTGGAAAGTTTCCTGTTCTCGCCCTAAAAGGGGCAAAAGTCTCAGACTTTGGAGGTATGTGAAATGGATGCTGAATAAGACAAGTCTAGGAGTGACAATTTATTTGGAAGAAGTTGTAATCATGAGCATGACCCCCTCCCCCCCCCCCCCCCCTGCAACTTCTGTGATTCTTTGAAGTCACTTCATCCATTTTTGCTTTTTGCAGGACGTTCTTTGTCAATCTTGGGTTCAACAAACATGAGGATCAATCCTATGGACCTACAGGAAGCTCATAGTTTGCGTGGATGGTAACTTTTCACTTTGTGTCCATATTTTAAAAACTTAATATGTAGGTTTAATTTGAACTGATATTTCTTTATTTGCATATTTTTAAAGGTACGAGAATGTTGGCAAAGATTCAAATATAGAGTCTCTCTCTGGGCTCAGATCTGATGGAGGAGGTTTGGGTTGGTATTACGTTTTTCTTTGTATTATTTATTTCATTTAATTTTGAGATTATATTTAGTCTTAAATAAATTAAGGAGACTGTGAGTCAGTTTGTTACAATAGAGTTAAATAGCAACAGAAGGTTTAGCCAGTCAGATAAAAGAGATCTTATGTCAGAGGTTCGGTAGCTTCACTCCCACTAGAAACTAAGGAGTTTCCCCTCAGGGGTTTAATTTCAGGGAGGTGTGATATTACAGCTAAACTAGTGCTACAGCTTGTACTATTGGACTTTGCATGATCACAAAACAAAGAATTATGAAATTATATTACTGTCCTCCAAACAATTAATAAACATTGTTGTTTTGTTCCCTCAGGTTCTGGTTACAAAACCTTCTTTCAGATGGACCATGAAAATCTTGGTATGGGTGACAAGGTAACGGAGTACTCAGACTGTTTATTTCATTTTTATTTTTTTTTGGATGATGATAAATTTATAAAACATTTACTCGCAGGAAAGACAAGAGGCTTCATTTCATTTAAAAAAAATGGTTGGGCTTATTCATTGTGGTAAACTACAATTAGTACGTATTATCATTTGTCCCACGATGTGGTCACTTATGATGTGGATTACGACGTTTCAACTGCATGCTATACTAGTCTTCAAAAGGCTTACAGATAATATCTTTTTGATGATGATTGAGACTATGAGTAATATTCTAGGGTGCATTGTGATAGGAGTATTCTGATAAAAATCACTATTTTGGTGACGACCTCTGACATTCCAACAACCTGACCAAATGTTAGCATCATACCTGCTGATCAATTACTGTTCGGGTAGCTGTTGTTTCTCAGACTTCCTTACCTAGGGACTTCCTTACCTAGGGACTTCCTTACCTGGGGACTTCCCTACCTAGGGACTTCCTTACCTAGGGACTTCCTTACCTAGGGACTTCCTTACCTGGGGACTTCCCTACCTACCTAGGGACTTCCTTACCTAGGGACTTCCTTACCTAGCGACTTCCTTACCTAGGGACTTCCTTACCTAGCCCATCTCGATTGATGTTTACTTCTTTCTTTGATTGTGTTTGACTACTGCAGGCGGACTATTTCACTTCTAAGGCCACAGTTTTGTTCATGAAGAAAGACAACTGTTTGTACAAGGTAACAAAATAATTACAACTTGTGATGTCTGTATAATGTGGTTCTAAGCAAAGGACAATTTTACTTTAAGAACTACCTTGATGAAGGAAAATTGTTAGCTGACATGTTCTGTGAAAGTTTCTGTCTTTCCTCTTTAGGCATGCCCTACTGCAGAATGCAACAAGAAAGTTATTGATGAGGGAGATGGTAATTATCGCTGTGAGAAGTGTAACAAGACCTACCCCAACTTCAAGTATCGTCTTTTGTTACTAGTAAGTTTTATTTGAAGACTTTACTGAGAATGCTTTTCTACAGGTCAGAGTTTTCTTTACATTGTTATTTTCCCCATTCAGACAAACTTGGCTGATTTCACTGGTAGCCACTGGGTTACCTGTTTCCAAGAAACAGCTGAGTTGCTTCTGAAAATAACTGCTGACGAACTGGGTCAGATGCGAGACTCGGTGAGTAAGACAAGGTGTTTTCCTCTTTTTTGTATGCAAACACGATTTTAGGACCTCCAATACGATTGGGTGAAGGCAGACTGCCTTGTTATATTCTTTAACTGGTCTCTATTTCATTTGAATTTGCCATTGATTTCTCAGTTTTAGATCTTGAACAATGCTACCTAGTGTAGATAGACATTTGTATTACATCTTAAATGTAAAAGCTATTTGTTTGTTCATTTATTTATTTCTTTATTTTTTTCGGTTCTTTGAAGGGGGATGAGCGTGCCTTTGATCACATTTTTCAAGAGGCAAACTTCAAGACGTACATTTTCAGGATTCGAGCAAAGATGGAGACGTACAATGTAAGAGTGTTCCTTACAATTTTTGGCATTAGACTGTTACCTGTTGGTTGTTGCTTTTCACCGTAATGTATTTGCACCTTACAAGTATAAGTGCTTGGTAGCTTTTTGGTGAATTTTAAAATAGGTCCATCTAAGAATCCATGTGGAATCCCATAAGGGGAGCTGGAATGGAAAGAATTAATTTACAGTTCGCTTACCGTCAGTTTGGGAAAAGATCGTTCTAAATCAAATACTTGCTATATATATATATATATATATATATATATTTTTATAAGTGTTGTGTCTTCACTCAAAAAAGCGACTCTAAGTTTTTTAGAAACGACCTTTAATACACAACGATTTAACTATAACTAACCAGCAACTTACAACACACGCGGTTAACAGCGAAAATGCTAATAAGTTCACAACAGTTCTGGGTTACGTAACTCCCGCGGGGTTTTTAAGCAAATTAAGATAACAATAAGTCCCTGGGCAATCCTTTGTTTCAAGGTTTCACAATCCAATCACAGCAACATGATCCTTTCCTAATATTTTACAGGATGAAACTAGGGTCAAATGCACGGCTGCAGGGGTGTCTCCATTGGATATTATGCAGGAAGGCAAACGAATGATAGCCGAGATCCAGAAACTGAGAATGCTTTGAGAGTACCCAACATTGTTAAAGGTTTAGCTAACCTTTTGTGAGTTGATGTTAGCTCATTGTGACATGCTATGTATAATAATTAGAAACTAAAACAGGGAGCTGGGCTTGAGAACTGAGGTCGTATTCATCTTTTTCAGCAAAGTAGGTTATTGTAAATGTTGTGTTGGTGTGAAAATCCAAAGTGTTTGAAACATGTTCTGACTCTTGTCTTCCATCCAGGAAAAAGATATGTAACTTAGTGGAAAAGGGGATAACTTTCTGCAAGAGTTATTAGTGTTTTCAATTGTTTTATAATTGCAATCCCCATTTTTCGTTGTTCAGGTGCTAACGAGATAAATCATTGTATTCACCGTCTGGTTCATTATTATTGCAATAAATGAAGTTCGTTCATTTTGATTTCGTCTGTTCTGTTACATCTTCCTACGTAACACTTCTCGTGTTCCATGGTTGCTCTGATCCCTGTCCCCATATATGTCACGGTACTTTGCCACTTTCTATCCCATCCTGTCTTAAAGTAGCTCCTCCCTAGATGGTAGAAAGTCGCTTCCTCGAGCAAACCAAAAATGGAACTAAATTCGTTTACAACAGGACCATCAATAAAGTTTCTCTTCCTGGGGAATTCGTCAGTCAGTGTTTTAAAATTAAATTCAACCGCCAATACAAAGTGGGTATAATTATTGGTACAAGATCGTAATAAATCGACTGAGCGTGAGGTGCAAGTATTAAACCTTCTAAAACTCATTAATAATTCGTAAGTTAGATAGCTATTAAAAAAAATGGCTGAATTCGTCACGTGCAGGAGTTTTGATACGCAATGAAAACACAGATGAAAACCACACGTGTTTTGGATCACATATCAAAACCACGCGTGGTTTTCATCTGTCTTCTCATTAGACATAAAGATCTATGAATCAAAACAAAACAAATCCAACACAAAAACAATACTCCAGTTTAATTAATCATTATAATCAATCAGCTACATTGTCGGCATCGAGACGACGGAAAATTGCAAATCTGCAATAAAATATAGGAAGATTAAAAAAGATAGATCTATATTCTAATAGTGGTATTCAATGAAAATGATATCTTGCAATGAACATAAATTTGATATCCTCTCTTACCTTTTATCCGAAGGATCGAAAGGATTTAAGGCTTTGCTTGCCACAGTTTCTTCTAATGCATTCGGATGCCACAGATAATTCCATAATGGGTTCTTGCTGGATACACCTTCCCTTCACTATTCACAACCTGGACAAAATTACTAAGCCAGTAGTTTAAAGCGTTGGCATCCATATCTGCCAAATCTGTACTCAACGACTGAACTTTGTACAAATCTCCATAATCTTTAAAAGCGCCACCAGAATCAAGTACAGGAACTTTCACTTTTCTATTTATCTGCTATTCGCGAAAAATTTTAATCGCTCATTTTGATTTGTAGGCAGTCGACTTAGGAATGCATCCTTACAGCAACTTTTATACTTCCCTAGTTTTTGGAGAACGAAAACGGCATACAGTGTTCGTTGTAAAACACTCTGCCATCTTTACTACCACATGACTTACAATGAACAACAACAAATTTTCCACATTGTGATTATTTTTAAAATAATTTGGATGTATCAACGAAGTTGAAATGGTAAATTGGCCACCGTAACGATTACAAAAGCTGACGTTTCGAGCGTTAGCCCTTCGCCATAATCTCATGGGAAATTAGAGCGCTGAAACAACACCCCCTAATTACTAAAGAAGTGTGGATAGTCATAGAAGCCATATCAAAAACTCGTGCTTCATGTTTGACCGGGGTCTCCAGACGCCTCGAAACAATAAAAGCACGAGGCCTTTGGCCTCGTGCTTTCATCTGTTTCTCGGTGTCTGGAAACCCCGGTCAAACACTCGCACTCGTTTTTGACGTATTACTTGGAAAATGGAATGCGACTGTCTTTGTTGTTTAGTTTATACCAAGGCAAGTCGTAAAAGGGAACGGGTTCAGCCTAAGGATAACTTGCACGAGTTGAATTACGGTCTCTTCGTCCAAGTCTTTTCTCGAAGCCAATAAATAACTCTTAGAAGGTTAAATAAGGCTATATAAAGAACTTGTTAGTGCGAGGTGTTACCATTTTGGTTCCGATAGCTTTAGTCACCGATCCTCGTTTACGAATTCAACGTCGTGAATTACGATAGATACACACAGAGGATGCTCAGTTTTATTTCTTTATCGTGTTGGACTATGTTGTCGGTTGTGTCGGACATTTTAGTGATGTTACACTTAGTTGTCTATTACGCCTAACAGAGGCTCCACTCCACGACAACACTAATACTCCCATTTCTTTTGCGCGAAATAATTAAACGGTAAGTCTTTATTTTTGTCACTATCTAATAAAATATATTGCGTTACGACTTCATTTCAAATAATGTTGTAACTTTGACGAAAAGACTTGATATTGGACGAATGGACCTAAGACTTTAGACGAAAAGACTCTTGGGCGAAAAGACCGGATACCATTCCCGCCATCACCGGAAGTACGCAGATGGCGTTTACCTTTTACAGGCGTGGTATTACATACATACGTACATACATACTTTATTTATTCCAGAAGCAGACTATGTATACACTAAGAGGAAAGGGAAAATATGCTTCCAGAAAAGGAAGTTAAGAGGTTATCCCTATGTGAAAACTCCCTAAAAAATAAGTCTAAATGAAAATAAAATACTTAGTTATAA